CAACAGAAACATAGTGATATTCAGTGTGAAGAAGCACAAAGTTCTGCACATCAGGTGCAACAACCTTGAGGTACGGGCTGCAGTGGTGTTGACTCAGGGACAGTGGGTAGAATTATTGATGACGAGACCTGGAAGAAATGAACACTAGGGTAAATACAGGACAAAACCAGCCTTTCGCTGCAAATAGGGCAAATAATGTACTAGATCACATTCAGAAAAGTTTTGTCAGCAAATTCAGAGAAACCGCTGAACTCCTCTGCTAGATACATCTGGAAATCAGTTCAAGAAAGATGTAGAGGTGGCCCAGATGGCAGGACATCAAGTGGACAAGAGTTTAGAGCACTGCATTGGTCAAGTGATGCTGGGAGAGTAAGGCTTTAGTTGCACAGAGGAGAGGTTAAGAGGTGATCTAGTAACAGCTTAAATCTACCTGAAAAGCAGAGAGAGCCAATCTCTTCTCATTAGAGCCAAATTATAGTTTTGTAAGAGTTCCAAAAGCAGTTATTATCCTTTCCAAAACATTTTTAAGCAGAGTTATCTTTGTTAAGTCAAGCTGGAAATCCAATCTATCCATTTTAACTTTCTGTACTTTTCCTACTTGGGCAACCAGAGATGGAAACTGCTTAGCAGATGTTTCTGCTTTTCTTCCTCTAGCTTTATTTGGTTGGAAATCAAACTGTACACAGAAGGTATTTCAAGGATACTGTTATGCAAGTAGGGCTGTTGGTCAGAGCATGAGATTTTAGACTTAAAAAAAGAGACATATTTGAAAAGGTAAGAAAGCAAAAGGAAAAAATTGTAACTGGTGAAAAAATTTCCCACAGGTTTCATAAATTTAAAATTCTTTTTCTTTACCAAGTCAGAGTGATATTTTTTCTAATAAAGGATAATTTTTGAAATTTAATTATGGAAATTGGTCAAAATTCCCCAAACAGACTCTTCCTTTTCCCTTTGCTGACTTGAACCTTTTCTTCTTGAGGCATTAACTTCTACTTGCTAGAAGTGTTACTGTCCTCAGTAGGAAGCACAGTTCAGGAGAATCATATGTTCCTTCTTCATGGCTTAAGCTTCTTGGCAGATAGACTCATCATAATCATCTCCTGATGTGTCACATCAATTCAACTCACTAACCACTAATGGCATAGTGCAAAGGATGCAGTTCATCTCTAAGAGGAAGATGAAGGCTGTAGCTATCGGAAGGCAATCTCTCATGAGGTGGCCTGGCAGCTTTGGTGCAGACATACAACTGTCAAAGTGGCAGGAGAAGGTACGATTTAACTGAGCAAATAACGTATTTGAGAATTAAACAAAATGTTTTAACAAACATTTTCTTGACAGAGCACAAAAAATTCCCCAAAATAGAAGCTGAAAGGAGGTCAGAAATATGAAAACAAAACAAAAAAAAAAAAAAAAGGAAAAAAAAAAACAACCCTAAGAAAACACTTGGGGCCTGTAATTTTCTATTGAGGGCTGAAAAAACAATTCCGTTTTCTCAGCAGCTGCTTACAAAATTACACCTCACAGTCAGGGCCCGTTTTGCTGGGACGCTTGCTGGCAGCAGTGGGTCGGACCCTCCCTTGGCAGCCCCCTGGGGCACCTCCATCCTGCCCGTGGTGCAACCAGGGCCCTCAGCCCAGTGACACCACAGCCCGCTCCACCCCTGTGCCTGGCCCTGCTCCCTGGATGGGCCCCTTGGCACCGCAGAGTGGCCTTGTCTCCAGCCCTGCCCCCAAACTACGTTTCCTCCAGTTCCCAACTGGACGCCCTGGATGCGCCCAGGCTCTGTCCCACCCTCTCCCCCCGTCGGGGTGGACCCTGGCTGCAGGTGGCAGGGGTGGCTGGTGAGAGCACAGCCAGAGCAGCTATAAACCGGGGACAAAAATCGCTCCTGCCCCTCCCGCCCTGCCCTGCGTGGCAACCCAGTGAGTCCTCCCGCCCATCCAGCTTTTCTGGCTCGGCTGGCATGAAGTTTGTTCCTGCTGCGTGTGTCATCGGCTGCGCCTTTCTCCTGCGGGGCCGGTTAAATATTAACGGAGCGACTTGGGTGGGGGGGAAGGCCGGGGAGAGGCGAAACTCTCCATGTCGTGGGGACAATATCTGGGCAGGCTCCCACCCGGGGGCCCAGCGGCTGAGAGGCGGCCGAGCTCGGAGGGAGGTTTCCACAGGCGAGGAGGGACCTGTCGTCAAAGGGAAATCGATTGAAGTAATCCAGGTAACCCCTCCGGAGCCATTATTCCCTTCCCAGCAGAAGGAGCTGATGGCTGGAAGATAATTTAACCCTCTCCCTTGCTCCTGCCTCAGCGAGGAAACCAGCCCTGGGCCGCCGGCAGTGGGGTGAGCCCGGAGAGCTTTGTGACCCCATCTCCTGCTTGTGCCTCCTGGCCTTTGGGCCAGGTGTTCCCCACACCATGGGGTGCCCAAAGCAACCGAGCTCTGACCTGTGCTCGGCTGGGTCTGGCTGTCCCTCCTTTAGGCCGGTGTTATCAGCGTTATCCCCTCGCCCTGGGCTGGAGCCAGGTGTGCGCGGGTCTCCCTGCGCACCTGCGGGGCAGGGAGCTGAGCAGCTGAGGCCAAACCCCAGGCAGTGAATTAATCTTCGGCCAAAAGATCCTGTTTCCTCTGGGGATTGGGTAGCGTTTCCTGTCCCTTTGGAAGTCCATTTTGAAACACAGCAAAATGAAACATTACAGACCCTTTCATTTCCCTTCTTGCTTCAATTCACTCCAAATTATTTACTGATTTTGTCCAGAATTTGGGCACAAGATTCTAGCAAGTTTGCTGTTCTCTATAAAGCTTTGCCCAGAGCAGCTTGTGTTGGTGCAGCCGGATTTGTGAGTGGAGGTATAAAGGCTGGCAGGGCTCCCTCTGGGCCTGTGGATCCTGCTGGGGGGGGTGGCAGCTTCCTGGAAAAGGACACAGCACGGACTTTTAGGTGTGTTCCCTGTTGCTTCACGTCAGCCATTTCACTTCATACGAGAGATAGTACACAAAAAATCCCAGCTGGTTTGTGCACTTGCTGAGAGCTGTTGCAGTGACAGAGCAAAGAGAAATCCCCCTGGAGCTGTGCACGGCAACCTGACCCTCTCACCTCACCTGCCTGCCCTCTGGGGACACCTCTGCACAGAAAATGTGCAAGCAAGGAGGTAGTCGAGGAAAAAAACAAAACTTTTCTAAATGTACCAGGTAAATGCAAACCGGTCAGTCTATAAGGTAGCCCCTCCTCCCAACACACAGGTGAAGAAATCAACCTGCAGGTTTGGCTTAAAACGTTGATTAGTTGACAGGGCTGTCCCTTAGGCTTTCAAGGTAAATTGAAATCTTGCAAAATAGGAAAACAGAGCAAACTGCCAGTTGGTCAGGTTGCAACTGCTCCAGTGAACTCAATGAGACCCTCTTGCTTAAAGCACCAAGCAGTGAAGAGAGCTTTTGTATAGCTTGATGTTGCAGCTGAACATGTTTGGAAAGTCAGAAAAAATGTTTTTTATTGGTTGCAGCAGTGCAGCTTATGGTGAAGGTCTGGATATGGGGGACACTGAGACAGGCACTGCCACCCACCTCTGTGCTATCCCACCCGCACTGCTTTCACAAAAGCTCTGCTGGGAATGAATGAAGGATCTGTGAAATAAACTGCTTGGCCAGGGCTTTTGTATTTTATGGCTTTGGTTTTAGCAAAGGGACTGGTTAAAAAAGTATGCTTGTTACAGGAAACTCAGAGTGTCTCTGCATTGATACCAACATTTATGCATTGCACAGAGCTGCCATGAAGAAGACCCCTGAAATAAAAAATTAGTTCCTGACAATAAATTTGGGAAGGTCACAAAACCACATCCTCTGTTCCAAGTCTGTTTTGTGAGGGCAAGCTTTGATTTCCCAGCTGAGAAGTTTGAAAACCAAGCACTGCAGTCAAACTGTCCCACATATTTTGAGAAGGAGGATAATAAAATCACTCAAGTGAATCACAAATTCTGGAAAAGGAAAAAATGCAGAAGTAAGGTCATGGTTCCACCCAGGGTCTGTATCTTGCCTCTGACCACAGTGGAGAGTTGGTCATGTTTTGGGGTGTAAGAGACACTCTCAAAGAAATAATCTTGGGGACCCTCTTTGTACTAGTAGCCTTTTTGAATACACAGTCTGGGAAGCTGGGAGGAGAGTAGGTGTTTCTCATCCTTGCCCCAAGGCAAGTGGGATGGAGAGCCCAGGGTGGCAGAAGGTGGTCCCTCTGGCCAGGGTGGCCCCTGTGTGGCCAGGGCCTGACAGGACTGCTGCAGCAATGGTTGTACAGGGCTCTCCCTGGAAATATATGAATAGAAATCCTTGTTTTGGAGTGAAGCACACACACAAAAAAAGGCAAAACAAACTTTTTGGGTATAGTGGCACATCAGAACATATTCCAACACCTTCTCCCAAATACTCCCTGGTGCAGGAGGCAACAGTTTCCCAGGGGCGTGTAACAACCCCTTTGAATAGAGGTCTGTTCCCCTCTGACCCCACAGGAGCAGCTGGCACCCTGCACAGCTGCCCTGCATGACAGTAAGTGATGGAGCACAGGGTTCATTAGTCTGCCAGGACCCTGCACCTACAATACACATGCAGTTGCAGGCAGCTTAGAGTTATTTTTTGCAGCTGCTCATTATTAACTTTAGTGATGGAAATGAAGCTCTCCTGACACAGTCAATCCTGAAACAGTAGTGTTGTAATAGCTGGGATGGACTAAAGGTGCTTGAGATGCAAGGTCTGTAGGGGAAGGTTTCTCTGCTAAACAAGCTCCTCTACTTCTTTTGAAACAGTTGTTTTAAGAGAAGATACTGTTCTTCCAAACCCTCCCTCATTTAAACTTCTCTCCTTGTTGATCCTACAGGTCACATAAAGTCACATGTTACCACAGGACACAAGTCAGCAGCTCATTACCAAGTTTCCTGATAAGTTCTGTCCTTCAGCTTCTCACGTATGCAGTGACCACTGGTGGCTTTCTGCGTAAGGGACCAGGAGAGAATGCTCCAATGGAGAGGCTCCAGAAATACGTCTTACTTCCTCTCATCGTAACTGCCTTCCTAACAGGTAGGACACATTTATAACCCACCATGGACAAAATGTGTGAAATAATTTCAAAACCATGTAAATGGTATTTAATGACAATGTCAGATTGAACAGTCAGTCCCAGAGGGGGATTATTTTAAATGTTTGAAATTTTTAAGTTTGCATTTCAAGCCTGAATGATCGAATGGCTTAGAGTGGGCTTCAGTATGCAGGAGTGAAAACTGGATGGGGTGGGGAGGACATGGGAAGGCTGTCCTCTCTCTCTTCCACTGAGCAGGGATGACCCATTTATTCTTCTCTCTCTTGATGTTCTTCTTCTTGTCTGTTTGGGACTGCTTTTGAGGAGGCATCTGTAGAGAGCTCCATAGCAGCAGCTGATTCTTTTTTCCAGAAATATATGCAAATTACCATTTTGCTAGTTTGCTTCCAATTTATATTTTTCATGCCTGAGTTTCAAAGGGAGTTCAGATAAAAGGTATTTTGGTGGCAGAGCTTTAAAGAAAATGTGAATATAAAATGACTAGTTGTGTAACGGAGACAAGGTTGATTTTTTTATTATTATAGTCTAGCTGTGATTTTAACAGGCTCTGAAAGGAGGGGGTTGAAGTGGGATGAGAGGGAAAGTATTGTCATGGCTTAATAATAGGTGAAAGAAAACACAATCATGGAATAAATATTGAGTTTGCTGAGCAGAGTGGTGTTGCCAGTGGAGTTGCACAGGGATGTGTGGTATTCAATAAGCTCTTAGCCAATGTAATGAAGAGGAGTGAACTGTGAGGTGGCAGACTTTGCAGGTGGTGCAGAATTACTTAGGGCAGCCAAATTCAAAAGGAAGCTAGGAAGGTTTGCCAGAAAATGTCATGATGACAAGTGAGTAATAAAGGAGCAGAAAACATTTAATGCTAAGAATCACTTAACTGAAGATGTGTAGTGGGCAAAGAGAATAGTTATCTTGGAAAGAGAGCAAATGGCTGAAAAAGAGTGGAAATGCCACTGCTTTGTGTCTTCAGCAAAAGAAATAGAATGAAACCTGGCATTATATAAATCTGCAGAAAATGAGTATCATGAATACTGGATGTTTTGTTAGCCTTCCCATTTCAAAAAAAGACTCCCTAAATCTGAGAAATGTACAAAGCGTGACAGAGGTGATGAAAAGTAGAGGGAAGCCTTCATTAGATTAGGGTACTTTTCTGCTTGTGAAAGAGAAGAAATAGTAAGGATTTATAAAGATAATTAATTATATGAAGGGGAATAGTGAAATGGTTATTTAGTTTCTTGTAACAGAAAGAAGTAGTGGCAAGACTGGTTAAACTGTCAGAACGAAGACTTAAGGTAAGCCAAGGGATTTACTTTTCCTCACAGTATGTAATTAAATAGTAAAGCTCTCAGTCGAAGGATATGAGGTATACCAAATTATAAACAGAACAAAACCAGCTAGAAACAAGTATCATGAAAGATAGATCCACAGATGCAGATGCAGTCATTGGCTCAGGCAGCCCCTAGGTCTCTTATTTTTGGACACTGAGAAGCTGTAACAAGGAAGCCTCAATTTATTTTTTTTTGTTGATGTTGTTTCTTATGCTGTCTCCTAAAGCATCCAGAGCAGAGCACAACGTGTTTTAAGAGGATTTCTCTTACTATTCACTAGTGCTTTTAGTTAAGCATGCCTGCAATGAATGTTTTATTGCCCCAGCAGCAAGACGCACTGGGGCAACCAGTGTTGTCCCCACTGTGCAATGGATCCATAGGAGCACATCCCAGAGCAGAGAGAGAGAGTGTATTGTGGAGAGTCAGGTGTTGCTCTTGAAAGAGGGTTGCTGCTTTTGGGATGTCAGGCATTGCAAGGCTGGGCAGTGTGATGTGGCTGCACAGGTGGTTTAAGCCTCCCCCTGTCTGGGCCCAGCATGGTGGCCTTTGGCAGCAATGGCATTGCAGACCACGGGGCTGATGTGCAGTGCAGGGTCCCAGCCTGCTGCCAGGAGATTGGAGCTGCTGCTGCTGCAGTGCTCCCAGCCTGGGGACCCACGTCACTGGACAAAAGAGAAAGTGCAGGAGGAGAGAAGTCGTTCAGCAGCAGAGCCAGGAGAGGCTGCAAGCAACAGCTGCTGAAGTGACTAAGAAAAGAGATGGGAACGCCCTTGGGGGCTGTGGAAAAGTTTGTGTGCATGTGGGTGGAAATACATGTTGCTGAGTGACAGAAACATCCTGCAATAATTTAAAAATCTTGTTAACATAAGCAAATAAGCTAGTTCTTCTCTGCCATTTTTAACAAGCTCTGTTTTGGTTTTTAAACAGTTCAGCTGCAGGGCTGTTGGTTTTTGAAATAAACTTGGGATGTCCTGAAGAAAAATCTCCTCAAGTTCAAAACAATTTATTGCAGAGCTGTTGCTGGAGCAGTGGGCCAGCAGTGAGGTAGAGAAGGCAGAAGACAAGGTGGGGTGAGCAAGAGCTGAAAGAGCAAGTGAAAAGAAAAAGCAATTAAAAACAGACTGGAAAGAAAAACATGTAGACATTAAAACAGAAATAGCAGAGAGGGAAAGGAGGGAGAGACTAGATGCAAAAAATGAAGCATAAAAGGCAGTGTTTATGGATGAGTGAGATGGGAATAGAGGGAGAGATAATTTTGAAATCAATAATGAGGGTGAAAAAAAAAAGGAATCATCATGGCAAAAGGAGAAGTCCATCCTGTCCTTCATTATGCTGCATCCAGATAGATTACTTCTAAAAGAGAAAAGAGTCAACAAAGGAGAAAAGGGAAGGAAAATAAAGTAGCCATGTCTTGATGTCCCTGTTGCTGAGACCTTCAGTATGAAGAAGCCGTCCTTGAGAGTCAGTTTGAATGCGGAAGAAAAAATAGGTGATGAAAGGCAATGGAGGTTCTTTTGGTACATGAGGTTCCCCCAGTGCAGGCATCACCCATGGAATGAGATACATTTTTGTTCCTTCAAAATCCCCCGTGATGTGACAGTGAATTTAGCAATGTGTCTCAGTGAGGGGGCCCTAATTCAGTTTTATTCTTCAAAAATCAAGGGGTAATGCAGTATCATGAAGACAGCCTATCATTTCCATATTGTGAAGATGCTGTTTGCATGGGTGGGATTTCTCATTGCTTATGTGTGAGAAAGCAGATGTTAAACCAGCTGCTAAGACCTGAGCACATAATTCCTGTAAGGTGCTGTGACAATCTAGCCTGAGGCCTTCATTTGTCTAAAAGCAATCATCTGCAAGGCATTTTGAAAGCAGTATGTAAATGAAATTAGCACTAACATTTTTTCCTTAGTGCAAGAAGCAAGGCTCAGCAAAAGGACTTTCTAGAACAGGCCTAAAGCAGTGGCAACTGGGTTTAGACCCTGTTTCTGTCATGTATGTCCTTTTTGACCTTACACAAGCTACTTTATCAGTGTTTGTACGTGGGTCGAACAATGGAACGCACTGTTGGTTCAGGACTCTTTGTGCTATTGCAGGATAAAATAATAAAAGCAAAAAGAAAAACACGCAAAGTTTTGGCAGCAAGTGGAGAAGGCCCATGAAACACTTTAAAAAAAAATTTTCGTGGAGCTTTAATGAGATCTATGTGGAGGCAATTCTGAGCTATATCCCACTCCTCAGTTCCTCCTGCAGAGCATAGGACCCCTGTACAGGACTTATGAAACTGTTCCCTAGCTCTCAGAAGTCAGTGAAAGACCATCTATTACTCCAGCAGGGTATGGTTGGAGGAAGAAAATCTAGATCTTGCCATAGCAATGGACTGATGAAAAATTATCTAGTGGGTGGTGTACCTGCCAGTGCAGAGGGGTTGGTACTAGATGATCTTTAAGATCCCTTCCAACTGAAACTATTCTGTGATTCTATGATAAATAAAAGAATAATTCATACCTACCTGCCTATACTGTTCTGACTGTCTAAAGAAAACAAAAGCAGTATTAGCACTGATTATGTTTAGGGATACATTTCAATACTATAATGGAACTCACAGACGTGATCTCATAGCAAATGATTAATTAACAGCTAGCAGGGTACTGGAAGACACATCATTTATTCAGAGCCACGGCAAACTGCAAGTTCTTAAGAAAGTAAACTGTTTATTTTGGCATAAAAATAAATCACAAATACATGAAGATCACTTTGCATTGAGAGAAACGGTGTGGATGAGTACTGCAGCTTCTGTTTCAGGAGTAACTAAGTGCAATTTTGTTAATTCTAAGGAAGATTGTTCATGGCTACCGTGTGTGGCTACCACAGTCATAGCTGTTTATGTCCACTTCAACCAATCAGGAAGAATTCAGGCAAGCTGTGAAAATCAGAGAATTCAGCACATGAACGTGATATAGACACCACAGATGTATAGAGAGTAGTGTGGTAAAGACTGTCTGCAATATGAGTAAAGAAAAAATCTGAAAATTCGAAGACATGTTTGAGCTTAGGACAGTTGGGTCAACTGTTTATAAAGCAACATACTAAGTTATGCACGTAGATTTGATTGCTGAGTTTGACTGCAACCTGTTTCATGTTTTACAGCAATTCATGTCACCTTTACAAGTCTGAACAGAGCTTTCAATAAATGCTACTGGAAAAAAAATAGCTATTTTGGTTGAACAGAAATTTGCTTTACTGTATCTTATCTGCCTTTATTAACTATCAGTAAAAATAAAGTTTGCTTTTCATTTAAAGTTTTACTGCTTACACATTGATATAATTTGGAGAATGAGGTGCATGGCAGAGGTAACAACACAGGAAGGTGGAAATTTTTTTAAAGGTCTTTGTAAACATGAGAGAAGTCAGGATCAATCATACAAAGAACACAGGAGAGCTAGGTTTGTACAATCCTATGAAACAAAGAATGAAAAGCCTCTTCTCTGTAAATACATATGTTGGGTGGGAGGAAAGAAAGAGCTTTTTATATTAAAGAAAAATTCTTGACACAAACTTGGCTAGATATATACTGCCTTGGATTGAATGTGAACTGGGAATTAGAAAATTATGTTGACATTGTAGCAATGAGATTACAGAAGCTATGCCATGGGAGCATTCATGGTGGCTCTGGTTGCAACATTGTAACTGAGGTTGGCCTCTGGTTCCTTTATGCAATGATCAAACATCTCTTTTCTGTGAAACAAAATAGCATAGTCACTCCCTGATTCATGTCAGCCACTGACTGAATTAAAAATTAATTTTTCAATAATTTAGAATTAATCCATTAATGAATATACTACCTAAGATGTACAAAACCTGTGTTGAAGGAAACCTTTAAAAATAATTTAATTTCCCTGAATACTCTTAGCAATGCAGTAACAACCATTTCAGACTTTCTCCTGGAAAATAATTGAACACTTATGCTCAGGCCAAATTTACAGACATGGGTTTTTAATTAGACTGTTATGGACTATAGTATCTAATTGCTGTAATTATGCAGACTCCAGTGTGTTCATTAGGGTAGCACTGTCAGTCCTGGTGCTTCCTCACCATGAATGTTTCCCAGTAAGTCATGACAAATTCACTGGTGAGGTGGACCTCACTGGCAGGACTGCTTTTGCAGAGGGCTTGTGAAATCTCCATCCTTGGAGATACTCAAAATTTGGCTTGACAGGGCCCTGTGCAAATGGTGTAACTGAAGTTAGCTCTGCTTGGAGCAGAGAGTTGGGCTACAGATTTCCTGATGTCCTTTACCACAGAAACCTTTCAGTGCCCCCATCAAAGAGCAGCTGTCACAGTGAGGTACAGGTGAACAGGCCAAAAGGGAGCAGACTCAAGCTTAAAGGCAGATGAAGAGATGAGAGCACCTGTGCAGGATGAGAAAGAGCTGTGTCTAGCTGGATATGTGCAGAGCATGGGCAGTCTTCCGAGGTGACCTTCGGTGACAGCAGAGCCTGCAGTGGTTTCCCTCTCCCTCCCTCTCCACTCCACCTGCAACCAGCAGGACTGTTGGTAGCTGTGACTCAGTGAAGTGATGGCCTTCTGAGAATGTGCCGTTTTGGGCTCCCCAATACATTGATAAACTGGACCAAATTCAGTAGAAGGTCACTAAGATGGTCATAGGCTAGAACACTTGCCCCCTGAGGAGCAGCTGATGGAGCAGGGTTTGTTCAGCCTGTAGAATAGGTGGTGGGGGGTTTCTAATGGCAGCCTGTCAGTAACTGCAAGAAGGTTGTAAAGAAAATGGAGCCACACTCTTCAAAGTGGGGAAAGTGAAGTTGAAAAGAGACAGCAGGCATATGTTGAAACAAGAGAGGTTCAGAGTGGACAAAAGGAAAAGCTTTTTCCCCATGAGGACCATCAGGCAGTAGAGCAGGTTGCCCAGAGAAAGCTGGGCAATCTCCATTCTTGGAGGTTTTCAAGTCCTGGCTGCCTGAAGCTGTAAGCAAGTGGATTCAACCTCAGAACGGGTCCTGCTTTATCAGGGGGATTGGATTGGAGATCTCCTGAGGTCACTTCCAACTTGAATAACTCTATGGACAGTCAGCTGTCCCTCCTTGAAAGGCATTAGTGGTACATCTGCCTTTGCTCTGCTGCACATGGACATGGCATGCTCTGGGGATCTGAGCCAAAATCTAAAGGAGATCACAAAGAAAAAAGACTCAGAGAAACAGGTTTCTCACAGTATTGTTCTCTCAAGTCCTATTTCCTAAGACATCAACCAAATAATCTTCATTGTTCTTATAATTTGAAGTTTTGTCCTTCATGAAGACTAGGGTATGTGATGTTCTGTCTCTGAAAAATACTTTAAGATTTGCCCACCTTCAAAACTGCACCCACTTCCCATAACTATTTAAGGGACTGAAGTCACAGCTGCTGCTTTGATAAAAGACTTTTTCCTTCCTACACTTTCTGCTTGGTAGAAGTGAGTGCCTTCCCATGTGCAGGGGACCCACCATCTGCCTGGACAACAACTGCAGATTCATTCCTCTGAGGGCAGTGGGAGGCCCTGGATCTGCTGAGAAGGAAAACAGAATGTTAGTATTAGAATGAGAATTCATTTGAAATAAGCTTTCAGTTCTGAAAAATGGTCACCAAAATTTGCATTGCCTTTTAAGGCATGAGTTACAGCAGCTCTGGCTAACAGAAAGCCTGAGAAGGTGGGGAAGTGTCACCGTTCGACTCAGGTTTGACAACAATGCTCTTGATCCCCTCCCCCTCCCACCCAGGTAGGGAA